ATCTAATAGAAGTTCAAGATTAATAACCGCACATAAACTTTTCCCGTAAGAAAAAGTGATCAATTCTCATCGTTTTGAGATAGTTCTCATTTTATACTTTCAGTTATAAACAAATTTTTGCAATGGGGAACGAATGCAATTCGAGTGTGTCGTGAGGCGATTATCATTAATAATTCAACGCACTCAATCGCCTTTCACATTAATAGTTTTATTTCGGAATGAGTTTGAATTAGCCTAAGCCGAACCGATTAACATAATCGTACGTGTTTCAATTCGTTAACTGAAGAATTTCGTTAACTGAAATAAATTCGATCGTTTTCTCGAATCGAACCGTTTCAATATTATCTGTCATTATAAGTCATTTGATCGCCTTACTGATCGCGAATTAATTTTGACAATTTAACGACGATAAGAATGCGTTGAAGTGCGCTATTCAGAGCCCCAGCTCATCTAAACGTTTTCAGGAACATTTTTGCGCTGCTCACCCCTGGAAGACCCTGAACTCTACGAAAATTGCCGAAATTATCCACAGGAAAAGTTGATTGCAGAAAAATGCATCTGAACTGCCTAAATTTTCACATTTCAACGCATTTTCAGCCTTTCAATGAATATTAAGCCCAAATTCCATGTGAGATCACCTCACACTAAGCTTTGGGATATTTAAACTGTTAAATTTCTGAAAAGTATGAGATCGGATCTATGGGGTGCTTATAATGGTGAACAATCTGTCATGTCGCTCTTCAGACTAGATACGCGTTCAGATTTGCGAAGGGAATACTTGCGAAATTGGACGAGATTCTAGTTGGTCAGCAAGGGAGTTCATCACCAATGATCTCCCAACATGTACTGTGTTATCTTCGCTTAAAATATCATTTCCTGTGATAAGCTCTGAATCTTCAGTGAACCACTTGAAATGCATTGTTCGATCAACATGAAATATGTAATCGATGTCGCTTAAATTCATTCAGAAATTAAAGTATCATTTCTTAAGCGATGATCCGTTCCCTTGATTGAACAGTTCTTAAGATTATTTCTCAGATATTCTTCTCCTCCCTCCGAAATCATCAATCGTGCCGAGATTATTGTGGCAGCTCAATGCGATAGTGCAAGACGATTTAGTGCCGAACGATGCTCGATGTTAAACTTTAAAAAATTTCTTGCAAAATTTTTCCAGACTTCTTCGAATCTTCAGTGAACTTAACTGTAATCTGTAATACTTTCGAAGTTTTATTGGTCACTTACAAACAGTAAAGCATATCAGTAAATGTCTCATATGAAACTGACAGTCAATGAAAATTTTCTCTTATATTTAATTTTGCAATAAATATTTTCAGATCAACATTTCCAATAAATTTGTCCGCATTCATTGCCTGCAGATCTTTGTTTTCGGTACAGATCTGAAACTGAAGGAGATCGGTCGTTATCATTTCTTTTGATTATCTGCTTTCAATTAGCGAAAAATTCCAGTTAGGATTTGTAAAACTGCAACATCCAACACTCAAATGGTTATCAACGTTAATAGAGTATTGCACTAAAGTTTATGGTTGTTGGTTGCAATGACCTGAAGTGCTCAACTGCAGCCGAACTGTGTAATGCTCTGTTCGTTTATCTGCTCAACCAGTGCTCTCACAGAGTTCCAATTGTAAATCTGTGCAAAAGCCCACAAATGTTTTACCAAATGCCGAATTGCAATGTAGTATTGGCTGCACATTGGCTAAGGCATTCATTTAAAAACTCGATAGTCTATCCCAGCATCGATTGAACCAACAACTCTAACCATCCTCATCTTCCTCAATCAGCCACAAACGCGATCTTAATCGGATAGACAACTCAGTTTTTTGCACTCCTCGCCACTCCTGACTGACGACGATAGGATTGATTGTAACCTTATGAAGTACTACTATTTACTATATCAAATATGTTCACTGAAAATAAATCTTATTCGTTTTTCAGTTAGTGCCTAGCAGGTGTTACTGTGAATGTATTGATTATGACATATCGAAGTGTTTTGATAGGATTTGTAGCTTGTTGAAGAAAAGTTTTTGCTTGGTTTATGTTCTGGATAGTGTGATTGTTTCATTGATACTTTTGAGTAGTTTGAAGAAGTTTCCCATCGTTTTGTCCCTGTTTCATGAATATGAAAAGTTGATAGATCTGTTCGAATTGAGTAGTTATTACTTCGAATTGGATGAATCGCAGTTTTTAGATGAATCACTTGATCGCTCGTATTATTCAATCTTGCTTGAGAAGAATTCATTTCAGACTGATTGATGATAACATTTGTTTCAGTCCGTAAATTTACTTGCCTATAAGCTTTGTAAAATTTATTGATGAAGTTATCTCTCTAATAGCAGTTCAGGTAAAAACAGATATCGACTACAGCCAAAATTTGACGATGACTGAACCGATATCAACTACGATTCCAGCACTTATGCAGAAGAGTGCAAAATTGGATCGTGTCGCTGTGATTTTCGACTCTGAAAAAGTCTCCTATACGTTCTCGAAATTGAATAATGAGGTTTTTTTACATTATTATTTTGCTGTTTTGTTTGTGCTAAGTTTTTAATGGCTCATTAAAAGCTTATTAACAGTGAATCATAGTCAATTCCATACGAAAAATAGATGAGTCTGGTGTTTTGATCTCATTAGATATTAATTTGTATTCCGCTGTTTTGTTTTTCAGCATTCATTGATACTCATCGAGCGGTTTCAGAAGAGATCCTCAATTGAAAAGTAGCAAAAATTCAGTTTTCACATAGGATTGGATAAAATCATCCAGATGATATGATCATTATGTTCACAGGTTGAGATGCTGGCTGCTGGTCTGTTGTCCACAGGTCTTGAGGCGGAAGATCGTGTGCTCATCTGTGGTTCAAATAATGCGCATTTTTTGGTGTCCGCATTGGCTTGTGCTCGAAGTGGACTCGTATTTTCACTGATGAATCCAAACTTCTCGAATCCACAACAATTGCTCTACGCATTGAACAAGGTTTCTGAAGCTTGCAGCATTTCAAGTCTCCCATTTTGTAAACAAACTTTCGACGTTATTGTAATGAATACCACTGGAACATCCATCCCGAAGGCAGTGTATTGCTTCCGTCACCAATATGAAGAGATCTTGATCTGTTGATTGATCAGATAATTCACGAATGAAATCACAATTGATCTATCCTTATTAATAACAGTCAAAAACATACTGTATTATGGCCAAACTGACCTCACCGAACATCTTAACGCATATCATGAAGGAGCGATTAGCTGACGAGCTTAATCTAAATCTGATCGAATATATTGAGTGTCTATCGATATTTCACTTTAGACTTGGTTCAGACTGTCTTGTTATTATGCTGGCTGAAGTTAGTGAAATTATTGCAGGGAGAATTTCGTGCGATCATATGCTTCCCAGCAAACAAGGAAGCGGAATTCCTCAACGCTCTGCTGAACGAAATCGCCACTGAATTGAAACATTCAGCAAAAGGACACGTGAGCAGTAAAGCGCTACCAAAGCTGACACATGTTATCACGGCTGAAGAGGATCATAAACATGCGTAAGTAAGCTTCTTTTGGGATTTTAAGGCATCATTCGATTGCCACAAGAAGACAATCAAATAAGGCATAAAAGTTTTGTGATGTTTTCGTCCTAATTCATTAATAAACACTAATGTCCATGTGAGTCTGTTTGATCGTTGACGTAAAAGTAAGTTAAAATTTTTACCCTTCTATTTATTCCAATCACATTTCATACATTATCCTGAGTTTGTATGGTCTTGATGAGTTGATTAGCTTCATGTTGTTAGTATCACTGATATTATCATTGCAATGAACATCATGAAAGTGACACTTTATCGTCACCAAGTAATAATAAATTTTTCAGCGGTACATTTACACTGTCTGAAGTGTATGGTCGTAGCAGTCGTGAACGCATTGAAAAGCTACCGAATTTCGATGGCTGGGATCCACACAAACTGGTTGCATTGCAATATACAACCGTAACGTTTCGCTGTTCTTACTTGAATTGTTCCATTTTTATCTTACTCATAAACTCTCACCATATTAATTCGTTTAACGACCAACAAATCTCCAAGGGTTCAATCGTGATGGAGATCAATAACAGTTGATTAGCTAACAAGAAGTTAAAATTTGCTCATTCCGAGCGCGCGAACTGAGTTTTGGATCAGTGATTCAATCAGAAAGGGACGAACCGGAAGCATCGATCTTCGTCCATCAGGAATTTGCTGTTGATTATTTTACAGGGTGTTTCTGCACGACCAAAGCTTGTTGGTCTATCACATTATCAGCTTGTCAATGGGTGTCGTGTCGCGGCTCAAGCAGTTGGCCTGAATGACTCTGTAGGTGTTGTTGCTGTTTCAGGTGTAAACTCTGAAAAAATTTTGAAATTTCACTCAGTAAATTTTACAGTGAACTCTAAATGAAATAATTTTCGACTCATTTGAAGGTAACTGCAAACTCTACGCATTGATGGATCATTTAGTTCACAGTCAGTAAATTCCATTGAAATGTTCGATTCAGCATGATATTAATCCATCAAAATCTGTACCGTTTTCTATCAAAAATCCGTTGATGTAACTTGATCAACTTCCAGACATATTGATCTAGAAAACAACTTTTATCCTACTCAAACTCTGGCTATAATAAGGTGGTTAATTTCAGACTGCTCTATGTTGTGCCTTACCGCTCTTCAAGATGCCCATATTCGCTTTAGTCGCCTTGGCACCATTCGTTACTGGAACTCGAGTGATATTTCCATCGCCTTCACCACTGCCGAAATTCCTCTTCGACTCCATCAAAAAATATCAGTTAGTTTCAAAATTGGATACCTTTGGTCTCAGAAATTTGCATTAGAAAATACAGACGATTCATGCAAACGCGCAGAATAGCGACATCTTTAGTAGATTCACTGGAATTTTACTGCTCTTCGCATGTAAATGAAAACAACTTCGGGACTGATTCTATAATCCCTCTGAACATTGATTCAAATGAGTGTTATGTCCAGTTTCGAATCGCTTATGCTCTTCAGCCATTTCAAATGATTTCCCCACTGCTTTGTCGCAATACCTTAGAAATTCTACCAAAATGTTATTTTCTACTAATTGTAAGACGAATCGATGCTATCAGTTGCTCATACCATTGGCTTTTAGGTGCACTCAATTGTTGACGAACGCAGTAGCTCTACGGCTTGTGCTGAAGATCGCGCTCTCTCAACGCGTTGAACTACCGTCGATCAAGACGGTGATTCTGGTCGGTGAGAGAGTACCAGGCGAGCTACTCAACAGCATCCGAAAGCAACTTGTCAATGTAGAGCAGACTTTTGTAAGCACTTAATGAAGCACTTTACTAGATTATTCTCTGCTTTTTGATAGCAATCCGTATTGAAAACTCTTATACAGATCTATTGGAGTGCCTGAGGAATGAAAACTTTTTCGAAATATCTTTAAATTCTACGAACAAAGCGATAAGGATTACACAACATTTTCATATTGTCATAAAACATATTTTGCCAACATAAAATCGAGACTTTTCTCCAGTTATGCTGCTCATTATTCATTTTTCATTGAACAGAAATGGAACGAACCAAAAATAGATTGAGTTTCTTTCAGAATGGATATATGCTCACCGAAGTGGCTACAATACCGATTATGACAAACGATCCAGCAAATATGCTCAAAAGCGTCGGTAAACCCTTGTCTGGTTTCACGGTATGGTTTGAATTTGATATTCAGCCTTAATTGTTTTAGTCGTTTAGGTCAAGACCAATAACTGATAAAAACTTTATTTTTACGTCAGTTGCTTATCTAAACTTTAGGAAACTGTCCTCATTTCATCAAATTAACCGGAATTCGAAGCGGAAATTTTCATGTGGGTCTGCTTTTATGTTTCCTATTCTCGTGTTCGAAAATAGTTCTAATCTAAAATTCCTTATGTTACACTTGAAATAGCGACAAAGAGGCATGTTAACATAGCGATTTTGAATTGTAATCTCTGTGCTCTAATTGTAAAACTATCTATACACTGCACTAAAGGTAGTCAGAAGGGACTAACTCAAGAAAACTACGCTGAATCCTTGAAATAGCACTCCGAAAATACACTGAAATAACTGCAGATTAATATCATTCATCAGTCAGCACTTCAATGCAATGCTGAAGCTGGTTCAGACGGAATTAGCATATTTGACAGAATTGCTTGCAGCGAAAGCGCGTTTGTTGTTGTCCTAAATGCGCGATAAATTCTTTGAGGAATTTGGTGTGAACGTGTAAAGTAATTGTGTTGATTTGTGACGGATATAGGGTTGCGGTTGATTAATCAGTTCGGTTTATTGCAACATCAAACGTGTTCAGTCCCTTTGGGATGGATGGATGGATGGTCGCTAAAGCACTCCGCACTCCGATAGATTTCTTGAATGTTTACAAATTGATGCTGTCATTATTCATTCATTCATTCAGATAGATGCATATGCACATGCTCATCCACATGCATTTCAAATTATGATAAGACAGCAAATGACCACAACTAATGACCAGTGGTCAGTGCCCTCATATCATGATACTTATTTAGCTGCGATTATGGTGAATGTCCACAATGAGTGACATGTTTATCGTTGTTGACGTTAGTTCATACATTGAAGACTAACAATTGCTCTCTTGAACGGTGACTTAAGCCCGTTCTCTAGATGTCATACGATCTTGTTCATACAGAGACAGGATATCCTCCTCATCATTCCTTATGCATCGTTTCGTTTATCCAAAAATTTCCGTTAACACTCTCTAGTTGAGACGAATGATGGTTCCGTATTAATGAGGATATTAATGAGCATAACTCAATATTATTCGATATTCTCAATGAATCATTCACATAAAATGTTGAACAAGAACGACTTGTACTGGTAGGAAGATATCATGACAGCTGAAACAAGCGATCTGCTTCAGCCATGTTAATGCATTTATGATGTTGATTTTATACAATCTGATTGATAATTTAGAGGAATATGGGGCATAAAATATTTTCAAAGGAAATGATGATTCGAAAATGATTCGAACTGATGACTGACTAACAAATCCTTATCAAAGTTAATCTGCGCTGAATTCAGCGAATACGAACTAGCTATCTAAAGTTTTGAAGCACTGATAAAATTACCGAAAACTGAATGAAGTTTATTTTTGCGTGCACCCTTTCAAATGTTTCAATCTCCAGTTGTTAGCAATAAAATTTGCAAAATATCCTCAAACACAATGTTTAA